ACAGGTTTTCCAGTATTACCATTTAACTGCCTTTGAACCATATATTAAATACCTATACCAACATTATTTTATGCAGAAGACACAAAAATAATTGCTTTCCCTGGAGATCAACCCAGGAGATCAAAGGAGATCAACCCAGTAACTGTTTAAGCAGGCTGCATTACAGACAGTTTGCTCCTCCTGCAACATACTGAGGGATTAATTATAAAATCTGGCTTTGTTCTGAATGCTTGAAACAATTTAAGTTATAATTATGCGTCAGTAAAGGATTACTGAAACTACAAGTGACAAAGAGGATTAAGCAACTGGTTTAGAGGTACACAAATTGCTATCACTTTTTTTAAGCATGTAATTAACAATTACTTTGCTGTTGTTGTTCATAAACAGTATGTTCATCACATCGGAAAGAACCTTAAGTTAATACAGATCACTAATCTCCAGAAAATTTGCCCATTTGGACAAAGAACAACAGTGCTATTTTAAAGTACAGACATAAAAACTGTAACATACTTTGCACACCACATAGCACAAAGGGATAATCTTGGATGCCTTGCCATTAATCTTGGCAGTACAATTCAGAACTTTCACACACTCACAGAAAAGTCATTAGAAAAGGATTCACTCATGTTAAATTGACAAAGTGTCAACTATATCTCAAATTTCCATGATCTTTGCATTGTTTGCGTAACAGAGCAAAATTCTGTCACCACAATGTCCTAAGGCATTTTCAGGAGAATTATTAAAAGATGAAATGCTGATCAGTACTTCAGTCTTGTAATCCCTAAGTCTGCTTCTAAAAGGCTTTAAATAGAAAAGGAAAAAGTACAGCTTTCATTTATTTCCATTTCAGATCTTTAGTTTTTTAAAGTAAAAAAAAAAAACAAAAAACTTTCAAACCTTCAGATATTAACTAATTAACTCCATTTAAATTATTTTACCTGTCTTCTAGAACAGAAAGTTTAAATAAAATTACCTTAACTGATTGGAGAAATCATCTTCTACATTGTCATCATCCCAGTTGTCTTCCCAGACATGTGCATCTTCATCTTCATCTAAACCAGTCCAATCTAAAGACAGAAAAGCAGATCTAAATATTGTATGCTACACTGCTTTGGTACCATGTCTTACTGACCAATTAGCTCAGCCACAGGGAAAGGCAGACTTCTGGTAAATTTAACAGAGAAGTCTGGATCATATTCAAGACAGAGACAGAAAGATCTAAAATACATCTCAAAATTTCTGTAATTACAACAAACATGAAACTTGGTGAAAAAAAAATCATTACACACACATCATGGTTTGCAAGATGAAACATTCCTAAAAGATATTTTGCATACTTATGGATAAACTGTAGCATCATCCTTCCATATTTGTATTTAAACATCTTTTTCAGATAAAAAAAGTACGTATCAGATGCTTTTGCCAAAACACAGACATGGTTCCCTCAAATCAGACACAGTCAGTCTATGGACAAATGACAAAAAAACTATTTGTGATACAAAAGCAAAGGAATTTGAAACAAGCATCTGCAAACAGCACTTGATACCTCTAATCAGCTATTTCGGGGTTCCCAAGACAGCAGAAGCTGTCTTGCCTTTGTAGGGAAACACTTTATGTCCATTTACTAACTTTATTTATATTTTTCCTGTAATCTGGCACATCACCCTTGACAAATTACTCATCATACACATAATGCTTCATTATTAGAAAAAAATTAAAATCAAACAAAATAGTTCAGAAAAATAATGAAAATTAAAGGCTCAGAATCACTATGAAAATGTAAGTTGGCTTACTTGATTTTTTTTAGTCTCTCCGTTTATTCCTACTGAAAGACACACATTTTTTTAAATGTTAAAAAAAAGAAGCCGCCTAATTTTGACACTTGCAACTTTTTATTTCTTTAAGTCTATTACTGTATTTAAAGAGATAACACTGTTCTTCCCCTGTCATTCTAGTAAGCCATCTGCTGCCCATGCACAGAACGCTTTGAGGACTAAAGTCTAAAGTAACATTAAACACTGATGGAGGTATGGGGGGAGCAGGGGAGAAAATTAGTGGGGTAAAACATCAAAAACTAATTCACTGTGAACAGCTATCTTTCTAAGAATGAAGCCTGGTCTTTGCATTTTCTCCTCCTTTTTCTAACACTGACAGGCAACAAAATTAATATTTGAGATTTGCCAGGACAGGAAAATCCATTTGTCACTGATTAAAGACACACGTGTGGAAGGCATTACAATTAAATTTCCCTACTCAAATAAATTATATAATGGGAAAAGATGAAGGAGCACAGAAATTGCGCTGTGAGAGCAAAAGAAAAGAACTGGGGAAAAAAAGGTGAAGAAAAAATGTTGTATATAAATATGCATTATTTGGATTTAGTTGTATTGCTAGTTGCTCAAAGGGAAGGGCTTATCCTTTAGAACTACCTGCAATAAGCTTTGCCCTTACCAGTTTATATTCCATTGATTTTTTTTTCAAAAAAGAAACAACTTTACTGATTAACTGGATTTTGAAAAGAGGAAAAACAAAACTCAAACAACTTAAAATTAACACAAAGTCAAAGTTTTCTATCTACAAACATATAAGTAGCTCAGACAGAACTACAAACTTGAAAAAAAATCACCCAGTAACTCATATCCAGTACAACAAACAGCAGCTTCAGTCACAGAAGATCAGCAGGACAGACTGCAAAAAGATGCTCTGAATCACACTGAGTAAAGGGGAGTCAGAAAGGTCCATCTCATCTCCCTTGCTGGGTGGGGAGGAGAGTGAAAGTAAAGCCTAAATTAATTACATTCTCATCCCCGTAGGACAAGACTCTGCAGCATCTGTATATTGAAACTATTACCCCAGCATTGTATAATACAGTTATTACTCCCTGCTACATTATATGCCTGTGACTAAACAAAAGTAAAAGAAGGTAGAGCATTATCTGGGATTGAAAGTATTAAGAGCACTTAAAAGTCCACTACCATTAAGCATTACTAACATACACCACAATTATAAACTTGTCATGTTTGAACTCCTTAAAAATATTTTTTTATATGCTGATCACTGATTGCTTTATTTTGTACTTGGGAAACAAAAAACAATTTTTAGGATTTTAGGGCTCTTTATCCCCTGCTCCATCACTTTATATTTTTATATTCTGAAATACACTCAAAAGATTCTTAAGTGACTCATTTACATGTATTTTCATCTACTATAGTATACTTATGCTATAGTTCAAAGAATCCTATAAAAATTGGGCATGTCTGGTTTTGATACATAAGTTGATTTCATACACTGTTTAAGTAAATTTTTAGGTTGGAATAAACCCCAAAAGTCCATGTATTCATCCCTTATCCTAGCTTTGCATTATCTAATTTCCTTTGGATAAAAACTGGGTAATAGAAGTTGTTGCTACAAAGTGGTGTTTTAATTTGAAAGAACAACAATTTGGAATGTGTCTGAGCTCAGTTATCACAGTTCTTTCCTAAATACTGGAGATAGCAGACAAAGCGGTCTGAACACTCAACATCTCAAAACTATGACCTCACTTGAGGATTCAAATGAACTCTTTTAGAAGTTCTTATTTTCTGCAAGAAAGAACATCTAGAAGGCTGATGATGGTCACTTTTAAATAAATCTCCGTTCCACCCAAAAAGTCTGCAGAGTACTTTGCTTTAGCATTACAGCTAGAGTCAAGCAAAACTAATTTCACCTTCTGTAACAGCAAGTCAGGGCTCTGCCCAATTCAAGGTCCAAAAGCTTCAGACTTCCCCTACTGTGATTAGCTAATTTACATGAAATAAGATTGACTTTTTTTTTCTTTTTAGGAAACACGTGTGAAAAAGAAAATATAGTCTTGTAAGTTTATTTTAGCTAACATCCTAACTATGTCATGAACTTTATCAGTACCCGCAAAAATATTAATTTTAGCAGAACTAAAGGATTCAGAACACCTAAGGCTTGTAAGGTCACAGAAAAATCACATGCAATAAAGACATTAGAGAAAAAAAAATCCTGACACTACATTCATTGTCATATATATCATTTTTCATGATCCACAACCTGATACAGAATTAGGGACATAAAAAGCTAATATGCCCTAATAGGGATGATTCCAAGACTACCTCTGTCAAGGGACACCGAGTTGTTTAATTGAATTTAGCTTCCGTATTAAGTATATCTGTACCTATTAAAAGCAAACTAGCATACACATATCTGTGCTTCAATAGGCAAAGAGACTTAAGAGTAACTACAGAACACAGTATTTCATTTTCACACATTTTTCCAACTTAGGCTCAGTTTCTAGCCCTCATCCCTCCTCTGCCCTGCGATTCGGTGTCAAAAAGCGGTAAATTTCTCCCGCACTTGTTCCCGGCTCTCTCGCACGATGACACAGCACTTCCAGCGCCATGTGCCCAGCGCCGCGACAGCGGCACAGCGCCGGGCACGGGCACCACGATCGCGCCCGACCGCGGCTCCGGCGGCGCTGCAGCCCCTCCGGCCGGGGTTGCGCAGGGCCCGCGGGGCTCCGGGGAAGCTTCAGCGAGGCCCTGCGGAGCGGCAGCAGGCGCTGCCCCGCGGAGCGGCCGCGGGAGCCCGCGGGAGGGCAGGCCGCGCACGGCGCTCCGGTCCCACCGCCGCGCCCGCCCGCCCGCTCCGCCGGCTCGGCCCGGCCCGGCCCGCCCGCAGGCCGCGGCCTGCCGGTCCCGGCGCCCGTCCCGTGCCGCCCCCCCCCCCCCCGGCACCTTCGGCCGGGAACTCCTCAAACTCGTCGTCCTCCTCCAGGAGCCCCAGGTCCACCGGCTGCTTCTTCTCCGACATGCTGGGCCCGCTCCGCGCCCGCCGCCCCGAGCCCGCTGCGATCCCGCGGCCCCCGCCGCGCCTGCGCCGCTGCCAGGCCCCGCTCCGGCCCGCGCCTGCGCCCTGAGGCTCCGCCGGCCCCGCCCGCCGCGGCACGGCACGGCACGGCACGGCACGGCACGGCACGGCACGGGCCGGGTTGGGGTGAGCCCGCGGGAGCTGCTGCCGCTCCCTCAGTGCTGCGGGGACAGCGAACTGGGTCCTGCAGCGTCACACCAAGCTGCACCGCTGCCGCTGCCGAGCGCCTCTGTTCTCTACGTTCTTTCACTGTTGGTGTGTATGCAGGCAAAGCCTATCGCGTATCAGCCTTCTGTCCTTAATCTCCATGCCACGGTGTTAGAGTGTTTTCCCTTCTGGCTTTTAAATGTAGTGCATCAGAACGCCAGGAGAGGTTTAGGTTGCGCATTAGGGGGAATTCATTCACAGAAGGAGTGATGAGACCTTGGCATGGGCTGCCTTCCATGGAGGTGTGTAAGGAAAGCCTGGCCGAGGCACTCGGTGCCATGGTCTGGTTGACAAGGTGGTGTTTGGCCGTAGGGTGGACTCGATGATCCCAGAAGTCTTTCCTGATCTAATTGATTCTGTGATTCCGTGGAAACCTAAAACTAATTTGCTATGTTCTAAATTCCTTGTCCATCACATCACAGAAACAAGCAAGCAGCTTGAGAGTTTGACTAAGCTATTCACTAGGAGTTTAGGCTGTTGCATGAAAACTAGAAATGCTACAGGATTTTATTATCCCAAAGTGTATTCATTTCACTTACCTCTAGATTCTGTTGATGATTTCAGCAAAGGCAAAGTTCAGCACTTACTAGCCTGAACAAGTTTATGTGCACCACCGGTGGCTTCTCTCCCAGCAATCACCTTGTAACAATACTGCCAGTTCGGTGGAGGAGCTGGGATGTTTTCCCTTGCTCTGTGAGAAGCTGATTCACAAGGCAATGACTTGCACAGCTGGGTTATACTGTATCCTAGATTTAAAGTCAGGGATACAACGAAACACTGGCATGGGAATTCATATATCATTGAGTTCCAAGCCAGCATAAACGTGTTCTGGCATCCAGCCACAGGTAAGGCGAGGTGGGAAATGAGCCCTTCTACCAGGTGAAAGGTCTAATCAAACGGTCATGTTTTAGTTTTTTGTGACAGGAGGACTGACTGACAGTGATGACTGTGAAATTATGAAAACTCTGGTTTAATAAATCAGTATGTGAAATCTAGTTGTAACTAAGAGAGTTACAACTAGATCTACAACTAGTATCTAAGAGAGTACAAGATAAAGTCATAAAGTGAGAGGGGTCTATGATATAAAAAGCTAGCAATGACCCACAATCCTTCACTTACTAAGGCTCATATTCAAACCCTCTAGTTTTTGCCTAACCTAGAATTTGCCTGAACTATGAAGTCTGGATTCCACTGGGGAATAACAAGATACTCAGTGGCACCTAGATTATCCAAGAAAGAATGTGATTTGGAAACTCCTATGGACAAGTAGCTTCAGGTATCCCTGAAGTAGGAAGCAGCCTGAACTTGTTTCATAGACTTTCCCTACATATCTGCTGTAGAGAAAAGATGCAAGAGTCCTTTCCACCTCTTCTTTCTCTTCCTTCTGTGCCAAGCTACTAGTTAGGAAGTGCCCATGAAAAGAAGAATCTGTACTTCCCAAGAGAATATGGCCAGCCACTGCACTGTGAAACAAGGAAAACCAAGGACTCCTGAAGCAGTGTCTTACTGATGTACAGCCTGACCAGAATCAGTCTTGGATTTGAGGCCTCCTATGCGTTTCCCACCCGTGGAGCTGAGTACTCCTGTATCACCAGTTAGCCAAACTTAATCTTCTGTTGCCACAAAAATCTGTAGTGTCAAATTCTTCTCCTTTTATTATAAATCTCAATGTTTTGATGATTCTTTTACATTTGTGGTTTCTGGAGTTCTGTCATTAAATAAGGAGCTTGGCTCTTATTTCTCCTATTTTACTTGTAAGATTGCTGTCAAATCATGAGTTCAAAAGTAAAAACTCTAAATCCATTGATTTAAATCCAACACCCCAGGTTTTGTGTAGTTTGTCCAGTCTTTTTAGGAGATGAATGCATGAATCTGTCCTCACTGTAATTCCCCAAACCCTTTAACTCTCTGCTAGTGGGGTCTCTAAGGGCATAGATATCTGCCATGTTGTGTTTCCCTCATCAAGGCAAGCCCATCCTCTGTTGCTTGAAGGACCTGATCTATGAAGCATTCTCCAAACCAGCCTTCTAGACCTTGCAGGAACAAATTCCCAGAGGGCAAAGCAACGAGGCTTACCTTCAGCTTTCCACTGTGTCCAAGCTGGATTTAACCTGGTATGAATGCCGAATGTCACAACCAACAGGCTGTTTGCTGGTTGTTTAGGGATCAAACTCCTCCAAAGTATAATCAGGTATTTTCACTCATGGTGGAGCAGATTTGACAAGTAGACAATTCAGTCTGCAACAGCAAATAGCCTGCCAAGGAGAATGTCCTGGCAGGTGGTGGACGGGTATGACATGCCATATCCCAGATATATGTTCCTAACAGCCAGACTATAGAGTAAGCAACTAGAAAGAACTTATTATCCTGCAGGTAGCTGTTATAAAACACTGGTTTAGTGCCAATCTTGTGGCTGGGATTTCTTAGCAGAGGCACAGGATTAAATCATACTTTCTTAAGGTTTCTTCCTGGCTTTCTTATGTAGCTTCCAGTCTGTAGGCTTTGTATAGCCCACTCTTTATTGCCTTCAGGAAGCATGTGAGAAACTCACATTTCTGCACTGAGAAAAGATATCTTCAAATTCTACAAAGCATCACAGCATGTAAAAATATGGTGATGCAGTTTGTAATACTCAAGTCTTTTGGGGGGACCTTGCCCCATGGTATAGTTTTAATTCTTTAGGGAAAATAGCATAAGGATTCAGCTGTCCAGAACAGATTTTCCACTGTGGAAAATTTGCAGGAGTATGTCAAAGCTACAAGTATGATCAAAGTTTGATAGTTTCTGGAGGGACCATAAAGAATAAGTGTTGCATTTCAGTATCTACCCTATGCAGTCAGAGTGGAGAAAGGCCATGGATACCTCTAAAGAGCATTCTGCCAGTGATTTTTGTTTGGTCCTTCCCCTGTGGCAGTCCCAGGACTGGCAGCAACCTTTACAGTCACCAAGCCTGTATTTCACATGGACACAGGACACAAGGATCAAGGATTAGGTTTTGATCAAATTAGGGAAGGCACTCCCTACATTCCCAAAATAGTATAAGAGATCTGCTTTCTTTGAGCTGCTGCCCCTTTGCAGCACATCATCTGCATTTTGAAGAGGTTGTTTTCCAAGACCAGCAGCCTGACAGTATTGGGTGCTTCAGCGGAGAGATCTACATGCCTGTTGCACAGAAATTAAAGGGGAAAAATTCCTATAGATTTCAGTGGTTTGGGATATGACTGTCTCTATTAAAACCTTTACTTAAATATACCCTTAACTGGTAACATGTTAGAAATAATTGAACAAGACAATCCTGAGTAATTCATCAGTGCCTCTATTATTCTTTTCAGAGTTGCACATCAGCTATTTACACAATATGATTTGTTTTAATTTTTTTATCCAGCATGTTTTATGCATTAGTATCAGAAAAGCTTGTCTTTCTCTTGGCAAATGTTGCTGCAAGTTGTCTAGCAGGGAGGTGGATTATGTAGATTTATTTATTCAGAATGTAATTTGCATAAATGAAAAATGGAAATAAATCCTCTTTTCAGAATTTAAGCCTTTTTTTTTTCCCTTCAAGGTGAAATAAAAAGTGTGTGTAGTTTACTCATTAAGATTTCCCGGGTTTTTTTATGTGGTCTATTAGTCATTTCAATGCTTAGGCCCATTTTCTTTGATTTGCTTTAATGTCTGAAAGCATATTTTGAGGATAAGATGAGGAAGAGACAATAGAACAGATTGGAAATTAATTTGCTTATAAGCAGTCAAAGGTGTCCTGTTGAAAAAAAATCTCAAAGCCATATTAAGCATTTTAGATATATTATGTAAACTGTTGTTTTGGAGGCCTTCATGGTTCCAGGCTGCCATACAGTGCCTATTTAGAAAAGCCCTGTGCTGCAAAGCAAATTGGCATTGTATGTGTTTGATCCACCTGTGGATCAAATCATGTGAAATCTGGGCAGAGACCTACATCTAATGGCCCACCAGCCCAGACATATCTGTCTCAGATCAGTGGTGCCTGGAAAGCTTATCTGGGTGGGAGAGGAACTGTCTTATGGTCCAGGCTGTTAGATACCCACAAATGCACCTAATTCCTGGTAAAAAACAACAAACAAACAAAACCCAAACAACCCCCCTGCTCACCCCCCGCAAAAAAACCACCCCAGGAATGCTTATTAGCATTGTTACCATTCAAAATGTATGCACTGCTGTGCAGTGCAGAATATATGTCCTGTAGCGAACTGGGCACTCCAAGCACTGATTAATGCATCCCAGGAATCCCTTCAGAGATAGTATTCTGTGTCTGGATAGTGCTGCATTTCATGCTGTAGGTTTTTTGGATTAAATTGAAGGCAAAAAGCATATCTTACATTCAGTGCATCTGGAAGTGAGGAACAGATTGTCCTGCTTCTTTCAATAGCTCTCCACAACTCTGGACCCATGGCATTATTCCTGAGGTCAGTGCCTTTGGTTTGCCACTATTTATTTATTCATGTCTGCAGAGGTCCTCTTTTTCTCTCCATATGCTCCATCATTCACCAGCACCTCCTGGTAGCCCACCCTGCTCCCACAGCCCATCCGTTCTCAGAGCTGACCCTGACTGGGGTCAGGATGCGATTAGGTGGCTGCAGATCATAAGGAATATTAATCACAAGGAACACTTAGATGTTGCTTTACAGACTTCCTTATGTGAAATATGCTGTGGCAAGCTATCGGGTTACCAGTGGCTGAAATAGAAACAGTTCTCTCTTTGCCCTTGACAGTCAAAAGAGGGTTTGATTTATTTTCTCATTTTCACTCGGTCTAAAGGCAGCTGGGCAGTATTGCTGCAAAGCTCTAGCTGTGTGTCATTGTAATAGGGGCAATATGTTTGTTCACTTCTGCTCTCTTCCTCTGTCTAATTGTTCTATTGTCTTTCTGTTTTCTCTCCACATTGGGGCTGACAAAATGTCTCCTTGGGTTTTGCCCTCTAGCCAAAACTTAACGGGCTCCTAATCAAGAACTAACACCATCAGCAGGCTATTTCCTGCCTTTGTTTACCATTTCTGGTATCATCTTTCTTCTCTTCTCATTACAAATTTTCACCAATATTTTCCTTTGACTCTTCCTCTGTATAGGGTGCAGAAAGCATCCTAAATATTGCCTGGTCACTTGATTTCTGGACTCTCAGCTCTACAATCTGGAAGAGTACCAGTACATTCAGAACCAGATTTTACAAAGCCAAGTAGCCCTGAGATAACTGTATATTCCATTAGTTGTATCAGCAGAATGCTTATTGCAGAACCTTGGTGCAAATTGTAAGGATGTTTTGAACGTAAAAAGGGTAACCACAATGTAAATAATCACTAGGTACCTTTCACCATAACTTGAATGTTCATGCAAGTATCAAGATTGTCAGGGTAGAATTCAGTTGCCTAAACAATCATTCCTAAGGTCAGTTGATATGGCCTAAAACACAGGGCCACGTGATGTAACCTGGGAGACTCTGGCCCTGCCCAACTACAGCTGGAGATGGGGCAAAACACCCCAGGGTTTCCAAAATAGCTTCAGTTGCCTGTGCTTAAGGCACTGAATTCCTATAATATGTTGAAATAACTGTGTTTGTGCTCCAGTGTCTTTTTCATGTTACTGCACAACTGACTTCATTTATTCTGCCATGGCTGCCCTGAGAATAGTGCACTGGTAGCCTCAGCAGGAGAGGTTAGTATGCAACACTGTGTAGGTTCCATGACCTTTAGGAATCAGGTGAACAGAATAAGTCTTTTTTTTCCACCTCAAATATGCTTCTGGCTTTACATATCATAAGGTGGGGCCAGGATGAAGTTCAACCCAAATTTGTAGCCTGGGAATAATTATTAAGCATTATTTCTTATGTTCAGATAGGTAAGCAGGGCTATTCATTAGCAATCCTGGCAAGCTGTGGGACTTGCTGATACCTAGACTATTTCAAGGGCAAGAGTCAGGCCACCAACTCTTGAGGCCAACTTCACATAAAGGAACCTCCTCAGACAGCCCCTCTCTACTTTCAGTTCAGAAAAGACCTGAATGGGCTGTTCAAAGTGGAGATTCAGAGCACATGTGTTTAAATATCAGCCCTGAAGTATAATTTGAAATGACCTATCACATCTCTGACTATATTAGGAGGACTTGCCCATAATTATGTATGAAAAGTCAGGAGATAGAAATAATCTCTTACAAGTTCAAGTAAGAGCAGTAATCCTTGTTGGCCACATTTCTCTGGCAAAATTCCTCCAGGGCATTTTTAGCCCTAAATGTATCTGTTTATCTCGCTTAACAGCTCAGCAATCCCCCCAGGAGTGTATGTGGTGGGAGCTGGCTCTAGCAGTGTGTGTCACTCAGAGCGTGCTGCTGCTGTTGGCTTTGCTGTGCTGGCAGGCAAGAGTGTACTTACTGCCCTTCCAGCCCCTTGGGCCTGCCTGTCACCAGCCCTGGCTGTCATTCAGCTGTTCTGCAGTATCCCAGGCAGCACAGCCTTAATGCAGGGAATTTATCTTAATTTAATTTATTGCAAATTAACACAGCCTTTTAATTACTGATTGGTGTACTGAGGGTAAAAAAGAAGACATATACAATTGAAAAAACACACAGGGAATTACCTTTCCTTACCTTTCTTCAGGCTCTCCTTCAGTCAAACACCTCTACTTCTTCCTTTCTTGCTTCAGCTCCCTTTGTTTTCACTGCTGGTTCCCTATTTCCCTCCCTCCTGGCCCCTTCAGTGAGGGCAGTTGGGGTCCAGGTATGTTGGTTTCTGTCCCTGCAATTCACTTCTTGCCCTCCACTCTCCTCACATCTTGCTGCTCCTGTGTCCACACGTGGCTCATCCATGGCCTGTGAAAGAAGTGTTCTACAGTTGGTTGACTTCCCTATGCTTGCGGAAATCTTCATTGCAAACGTGTCAGGAAAACAAGGTGTATTTTATCATAGAGACTTATGAAATCCATGAAAGTCAGGTGTCTAAGGGGTGTTTTAATCCTGAAGCCCTGGATGTAGCTCCCAGAGATGCAACACTGGGGCCAGCAGTTCAGGGCCAGTGTGATGCATGAGTGGGACCACTATGCTGGGCCCCCAGCTCCTGTGCTGCCCAGGCAGCTGGAAAAGCAGCAGTGGTGCCCATGGCATGGAGAAACCCATAGAGCCCCAAAGTTCCTTCTCATCCACCCTGCAAAACAGAGGATACCTTCTTCCTCCAAGCTCCTGTTAACTTGTCATGTCTTCTTCAGCAAGCATAGAGGTTTTGATGAATCATCTAGTGGTTTTCCACAGAAATGAAGAAACACTGTGCTACTAGCAGAGGCATCAATTAATTTCTTTCTAAACAAGGACACTCTTGAGACCTTTTTTATCTTAGTATTCTTTTTGTCTTAGATTACCAAGTGGAGTTGATGCAGTATGTCAAATCAAAGCCACAAGGAGCAATTTGGGCAAGTCCTGATCTTAATTCAGCTCATCTAACCAGCTCTCATGAGTGCAGAAGTTGGCCCAGACAACTCTGGGCTATTGTATGTACAACTGTGAAAAAACTGATAGTTCTTTTTTTTCTGTTAGACAGGAACTTATTCTGAATTATGTTTTAAAGAAAACCCTACAAATCACACTTTCATTGTCCTACTCTGGTTTCCAAAGCACATAAAATTTTTGTAACTATAATTCTTCACCCCATCCCAAACACAGTAGCATCAATGACACCTGGAATTCTTACAAAAACAGCATCAGAGTGAACAGTGAGCATATGTCAAATGAATCTACAAACCCAAAGATTTTATTGAGAATACATATATATATATATATAAAATCCTTTTGTCTACATTGTATACACACACATAAGTTAAAATATTTACTTGTACAGTACTTCTTGTACAGATAAACTATAAAATTAAGCAGGCTAATATGATAGTAGAGTGGTGGTAATTATTATTCTAACATACTAAGTAAATTAAAAATGCGTAGGATCACTTACAGCAGTATATTACAGCAAAAAAGTTAGATTTGAGTACACAGTTATGGAGGTTGGCTAAGAAAGAAAGGAAAAGATCTAAATGATTGTCATATGAAGGAGTGCATTAGGAAACAGTACTCTCAATTTTACTGTTTCTGGCTTCTATCTTTTGTAATACACAATAGGGAAGTCTTTTCCCTGATTTGCTTTTAAGCCTTTGGCACAATCAAAAGCTGGAGGTATTGTAAAGAAAATCTGCAAATACCATGAAAATGTCTTGTGGTGACATTCTTATTCGGGCTCTGGGCCTGATTTTGAAAGATCTGAAACACCCAGAGATGGCAATGACAAGCTCTTCTGCAGGTCAGATATTTGGGGTCTGGAAGGTTGTTTTATAATCTCGTTTTCATGTTCTTGCAAATCTAGATTTTTTTTTTCTTTTTTACTTTGTACTAATTCAGGTTTTATTAAAACCATTCAGAACAGATATTGATGTTCTATGTCAACACTTCTTGCTTACTAGTAGGATACATAACTTTGGTCAGCAGAACAATTTCCAATCTTTGAGGAAACTGATAATATATTTAAAGTTAAGACAACAATAATTATTTTTAAAATGAAGTTTCAGAAATGCTGGGTCTTTTAGATCCTCTCCATTGCATCATTCTGACTATGGCACTATCTTCACAAAAGTTCTTGCACGTTAATGGCATGGGCCATATAAAAAGTCAGTGCTTCAAAAAAATGGGGTTTTGTTCTTTGTATTTCATTGCCTTGTCATCTGAAGGGAAAAGTCCATTTTTGCCATTGTGTTTTCACTCAGAAGTGGTTTGAGATAGCTGCAGTCTGAAGTATAACCAAAGCAAAACAACAAGGTTTGAAATTGTATGTTCAGTGTTTATGCAGGCTCTATGGAAGCCACAAAGAAAAATAAATTTAAACAATCACAAAGAAAAATAAATTTAAACAATCACATGTAGATCTAAGAGGCAACTGAAGCAATGGCTCCTCAATTCCCAAAATATGACTAAATTTAGAATTATATATCCCAACCAGTTATCACATGCATGGTTTATTGGTACAGTGTAACCAAATACATCCAAATGCCTGGATCTTCAGTTTTAAGAGTTTAAACCATAGCCTAAACAAGAATTTTAAAAAATGTATATTATTTTTAATGCTAAAAGAAAAAAGAAAGAAGCTGACAGATCTCTCCTATGATGTCAGAGATTAGGAATTCCTAAGTTATACAAGACTATTTAGAAACATCATATCTTTTCGTACTGCTAATGACCCTAAGGGGCTCCAAATATTCATTAAGGACCTGTGTCAGCTGCCTTTTGGGTATAATGGAAAATCATCTCCTCTTAAAAACACAAAGCAAGTGGCAATTGGCCTTTGGTTCTGCAGGCAGCCAAACCCAGTGTCTGAAGTACAAACCTAGTACTGAAGTCCTGATTCTTTGAGGGGTTACAATGTGGGTTTTAGCCACCTGGTTTTCACAGAACAACTCCATGGTCCTCAAAATTTGGCCCAGAGTCTTGAAGGTCCTTTAACAGTACTGATTTTACCCCTCTTCTTAAGGCAATTCCATCTACTCTGCTTTTCAGTGACTTTCAGGAATGTCCCTATAATGTAGTAATTTTTTTTCCAGCATATAAAGTGCTGACTTTATAGATAGAATCATATGACCTACCTTATTTATTTTAAACAAAATGAAATTCCAATCTATTTGAAGCATACATAAGAGCAAGCAAAAACTATGAATACAGATTTGCTAAAATAATGTAGGTGATCACCTTTATAATAAAGTTTAGTAATATTTTAATATTAATTTTATATTAATTATTTAATAAAATGTGTTATATTTTTGTATGTTATACAAATATATTATATACATGGTGTAGCTCATCTTTTGCAGATTTGCATAAATTTATTGAACAAGCATATCTGAAACACTTATTGCATAGAGAACTTGAATTGTGCACTTTAAATAATAACTTTCAAAGGATAAATTGTAATCTTCTTTTATGGTACAAATTTATATTGAAGCTTTACTGAAATGTATAATTTTTCAATAGAATTTATTTAATGATAATCTATTCATTTGGGGGTAAATGAAGAATTTGATGGTGAAGCGATGTAACTGGAATATAGTCTCAAGTGGTGTGTTTGGTTTATCAATCAGTGAAAATTGTGCACTTGAGTGTAAGAGCACATGTCTATCCATATGATTCTTGCAACCTCAGTTAATTGAAACCCTTTTTCCACCCTATTATCAATACTTGAAAAATAGCTCCAACCACATCTATTAACCAGTGCCTTAATAGAAGCTTTATCAGCTCCATATAAATCGCACGTATTTTGCTAAAAAGCAATTTCCCTAATACAAGGGTCAGTTCTATGGTTCACTGGAGATGTTTGCTCAGGAGGTGTTGGGGCACAACTGGATGGATGGATAGGGATGGATAGAGCTGTGAGCTTGGTCTTCAATCCACTGAAACACTGGCAAGGTTGGAGGTCCAATCTGATTACACTCTCAGTCCTCATTAATTTTAACAAAAGCAAGGTGTGCTTATGATGAAAATTAGGCTTGACCACTTGTACAGGGAAATCTAAAACAGACTATAAATATGTGGGTTTAAATTTCCTATTTTAAAATAAACCCCAACCTTTAGATTCAGGACAGCAGAATTATACACTAATATGTCCTAAACAACTCTGAAATGAAAAGTTCTTCTTTCCAAAGCAACTTCTCTAAATTTTTAATTCATATTTATAGTTTCCTTTCTCCCATAGATACTTGATTCAAATGAAGAATATATACAGGGTTTCTGTGCAGTTCGGCTCAGTGTCTCCTGAGATCATGGACAATTCAGCTGTCAATTCAATTTAGCCAATTGTCAACATAATGAATCAACAGTAGAAGAAAAATGAAAGCATGTACGAAATAGGAAGAAAAAGAGGGATATGAGATGCTCAGCAGCATCTAATCTAGGGCTACCTAAAGCTCCCTAAAGGCTTTTCTAATCTTTAAAGGCATTTTGGAGCTTTGAATCCACAGGGTTTCATTTCTGCCGAGAGATTACCCACATACAACAGATTTTACTTTTGTTTTTGTGATCAAGTTGTTTAATCAGTTCCATCAGATGTGAGGATACTAGTATAGGGCAATTATGCTGGGTAATGCTTAGTTTTGGGCACATTCTTTTTCATAGTTAATTGAACCCCCTGTTCCTCAGGGAAACTTGTTGCCACAAAACAGAACTTTGCTGTGTTGGAGGGGTCCATGGGACAGCAAGAATATTTTTTTTGTTACTGTTATTTATTTGTGTAGATCTGTCCCTATGATCTTCATCCATGAGCAGTGGGCAAACCATTGGAGAGAATTAACATAATAAGGATCTATACTCAGTTGTATGCAGAGGTAATATACTGGAAGCATTTGCATTACAAGTGAGCAAATAGCTTTCCTTTTAGTCTTAAAGTGCAGTTTTATGGGACCATATATTATGTGGGAAGGCAGAGCTGAAACTGGTACTTCATTTATCAAGGCATGCATAGTTTAGTGATTGTGGCACAGCTATTCATAGGCAGGAAAAAAGAGCCCCCTCCACCCTCAGGGGGACTCTATAGCTCTTGTAAATATAGCTCTGCTCCGATGGCTGCTCTTTCTACAGCCATCAGAGCAGAGCTATAGATCTGCAAACTGACCCAGGCCAGGTTAGAGCTCAGAAAGGTGCTAAGAAACCTGGCTTGTAGAAAGGAAATTAGGGCTCAAAGTTACAAGAAGGCTACAAAAAAAGATTGGTGCTTTACCATATTTACAAACATTGTTTTAATTGTCAAGACTTTATAAATTATGCTACAGTGGGCAGACAGGGCAAAACCATAGCTGAAAGCTATCAGAAATTTTCATATGCAATGAAGAACTTCCTTTTACAGTGGGGTATTTCTTCACTGAGAGAAGATCACTGCTATAAAGAGTAGGTATTTATCAATTTTCAAAGGTCTTGGCCCATGAAAGCTAGTGTTAGATTTGGAATTTCTCTTTTGTTGCCAAGGTGACAAACACTTATAAATATACCACATCTTCTAATGTGCTTTTAACTTAGTATTTTTATGGCTTTTAAATCAGATACCATTAGCAAATATATTAGGTAATTTAGCTGAAAGACCATTTTCTACTAACACTTTTTGTTACATTTCCCCAGATACTTCAGTAAATGTCTGTTGTGACATTGCAGTCCTGCCAGGCTTCTAGCATATAAGGATACATACAGTACATCTGGTAAGAATTAACATATTACCTTAGGGCTTTCTGGGTTTTTTTTGTATTGATGATTACAAATTGTATAAAAGAAGACAAATACTAAGGATTGGATCCTACAGTCCATTGACTTCAGAGGGAACTCTGTGGAGGTAATTACTCTGGGATTGACCAGAGGCCATACTGTGTGTTGGTTTTTTTTGGCTTCTATCTCCCCTTTTTATAACCCAGTAATGAGGCTGAAAACACAGGGAAGACCATAACAGCTCCATAGCTGGGCACTTCCCTCTGCAAAGGAGAAGCAAACAAACCAACAAAACCTGCCTGTGTGTTTTTTTTCTTTTTCATAGAGTTGAAGGCTGGAGGAGACCTTTGCCATCATCTGATGTGATGCCTTCAGGACACCAAGCCAAGGAGCTTTCCTGCCTGGAAACCATCTGGCAGCCATACAGGCCAGCTCTTGGACAGAGCATGGCTTGAAGGCGACTAGCTTGGAAACTGGTGCTGGCAGATGAGGTAGCAACATCTGCAGGAGCTGCTTGTCCACAGGAGGCAGCTGCACCTCAGGAGTCTCTTGGGGCCATGGGAGGGTGACCTCCCTGTGGGCAGGTGCTGCAGGCACCAGTGGTGGAGCCATGAGAGAGCTCAGCAGCAGAACTGGGGCTGGCTCCACAAGCAAAGGTGTACAGGGCCCCTCTGACTGCACAGAACCTTGCCCTGTGCTTTTCCTGCTACAAAACCACATCTGGAGGCAGGGTCTGGGCTGGACTCTACTCCCAGGACCTCCATCTCATGCCAGAAGTCCTATCCTGCACCGAGGAGCATCCTGGTTGGGAATGCAACCATATGAGCAGGCAGGGCTGGAGAGGTGGGGTGCTGACAAAAAGGAGCAGTGATTTCAAAATACAATTTTTAAAAATTTTTGACAAAGCTCTGCAACACTGAGGATTAAGCGCAGTTCATAAACCAGTGAATAAGCTTCCTACAGTAGCAGTGTGTTAGATTGGGTGGAAAAGTCCAATGGAAAAGTGTCCAGGAAACATCTTTCATGCCTGCACGTTAAATTTAGTATTCCAGCCCCGTCTTTTAGGACTTGGCATTCATCTACTAAAAAAAATGTTGATCTGAAAGAAAAAGAGAGGGAAAAAACCCCCAGTCTACTATAACAGTTTGCTTGACAAAATGGGGAGACTTGAGGAATTAATTGTGTGTGAGTTACAAAGAGCCATCCTGCGCTGTAGACACTGGGCCTGTATTTGTCACTCTCGCTCCCAGTCCAGCACTGTCCCATTGGCCTCTTCATTCAGCACAGCTATCTGTCATGAAGAATTTAAGTTTCATATTTTCATCTGTCAGTTGTGAAAAGGCCTGTCAGCTGAAGCTTACACTACCATTTGCTAAAAGGCCTATAGCCCATGCTGACAATACACTCTTATATTTGTGCTTCCAGGCTCCAGATAATCCCCTCACTTTCCTCCTCAGCAGTCCAGTTATGATGAGGCTTAAATTGCATATTTTGGGGGGTTTTAAATCCAGATTTTGCTGATAAATGCTATCAGCGGGAATGAAATGAAATACAGCACGGTTTAGCTCTTATTACCAGCATTTTGTGAGACAGTATTCATATTGAACAGGTTAATATCTAGAATGTCTATAGTCACAGGAAGTAAACGTAAGAATGCTAATATCAGCTTTTATCTGCTTTGTCTGTTAAAAAAAACCCCACCCATCCTTCAAACAGAGCATTTCCCAGATTCTTTAATTTGATTTGCAAAGGGAAATAAGATAACCAGCTCATTCCAAATCCACAGCCAATTGTTTTATGCTCCAAGATACCACCAAATTACCCATTAAATGCCACAGAAGGTAGAAAGTGTCTAAATCCCCAAAGCACACTTAAAACCCCAACATTTTTCTTGTAAGACTGTTAAAAAAATTACCAAAATAAAAAGTTGGTCACCAACCCATCTCAATCTGATGCATGTTTATGAGGGTAAAAGGATACAAGGTGTGATCTTCACACCTGTAACTTTAGGACTGCATGACTTTAATTAAAGAACAACACAGCAAAAAGTAAAATTGCTTCAGAAACTCAGTCTCACTTGAGGATTGTCAGGGAACACAACACAGTAACCGAGGTTAAGCACTTGATATCTTGTCTCTAAGAAATTTAGTTTCCAACCATTATGCAACAACAAAGAAATTATATCTTTAATTCATTACAAGATTTTAAATTGCCTAATTGATTAAGAGACAATTACACTTTCTGAAACTATATGCGGTTATGTCCCTGTGAAATAACTTTATGTTTTCCTTCTTAGATGAAACATCCTTTTTCCCTGTAGTTCTAAAATATTCTAATATAGTACAGTAGTGCCAGAGGGATTTCTGTTTCATTGCTTTATGTTGTCATTTGGAAACCAACTTCAGAGCAACATTTTTCAACCCATGGTCTGAGACAGTCTGGAAGGAGAAGACAGAGAGACTGCAAAAAATCCTGTGTAAAGCAGTCTTACTGTTAACAGATTTTAGCCTGATCCCTTTTTCCCTGGAAAGGGTTTTCAGGTTTTCCCATTAAAAAAAAAATAGTTGAGACTTACTGCCTTGGAATATCTTTTTCATGACAAGCAATATGGGAAGGTGCTTACCCTCAGCTGGCTTCTGTTCAGAAAATGAGAGCAGCTACAAGGCAGTGTATAAAGTCACTCTATGGAAACGTTCCTGAACATGCTTCACATGATACTCCTGTGATTAAAACAACTTGTGAGTGCAGATTTGAGCCTATAAATGTCCTGCAGGTCAGAAAATAACAGCATAACACTACTGAAAAAGTTTGAAATACATGACTTCCTTGAAAGTCCTAACTGTTTGGGTTCATGTGTTTTCTACTACAGTCAGCTGTTGCAAAGAGTTCTCTCAATGGGGAAGGATTTTCCCACCTCAGAAATACTTTTTGCCACTGCCATATCCTTTGGCTGTGTCCCTCCAGTAGATAAAGAGCAACCAAGAGAAAGGAAGCTGAAAGGGAACACTGTATAACAGTATGCATTTTTACTTTATTAAGTAATAAACATCTTACACACCTTAAGATTTTATTAAGATGGTATAAATAACAATAGCTAATAGTTAATAATAAAAATATATTAATAGTATTATTAACAGTAGCAAATATTGCTAGCCATCCAATAAATCTATTTTTTCTGTAATGATAGTGAGATATTGCCAAGACAATAGCAATGGGGCATTGTCTGCTCAATATCTGGCTCAAAGTAGCAAGTACATCCTGCCCCAGAATATTCCCAACACAATGACTTTCAGAAAAGACGTGTAGGAATTAAGATAAATAGCAATCACTCTGAAAGACTTGGATAAAGGAAACAGCAAAAGCTGGTGTAGTGCATAGATGGATTCCTGAAACATGGAGTTTTGGAGGTCTCTGAGAAGATTATCACTGAGTTAAAGCATAATGATTTGTGTTAGCTATTTTTCTGTCCAAAAGATTGAAATATCTGAGGAACAGAGGTTTTCTTTTTCTGTATGTTACCACATGGAGTATTTTGGCTCTCACTATGTTCTTACTGTTGTTGCAAACAAGAATTCCCTTAGCATGGCATATGTGTTGAGTATCTTAAATTTTTTTACTGGAAAAGAAAAATATGTTTTGTTTTGGGAAATTACTACAGGAGCTGTAGCAAGTGATTTGATTCCTTAAGCAATACAGACTTTTAATGTATGAGTTGCTCTGTCTTGGGGTAAAACTTCAGAAAATAGTTTCACCTCAATGAATAGCAGGATTTTGCTCCTGAATTCCTGGGAATTTCCCACCTAAGCTAAGAGCCCTCCTTTTGTCTCTCAGGTTACTCATTAAAAGCAGCCTCATGCCTCATTTAAGGAACAACAAATGGAGGAGACAGATCAACATTTCTTTCTGCATTTCTTTTTACCTGCAATTTGGGAACAGTTTTGGTTAAATCCAGTCTAATGTTCTCCACAGCCACATTCAAATCAATATAAGGGTGTCCAGTATGTTTGTAGATGAAGAAAAGAGTGAGAAATGCTCTGATAGAATTTGTTCTCTTTACAAGTTAGAAATACTGACCCTTTACTACTTTAGGTTGGGTAGTTCTCCAACTGGTGGTTTTTAGGACTTTATTCTCAGGGGCTGAGCAAATACTTTTAACTGCTTTAATTTTTCTGAGCAACTAAGGCCCGACCCTCTGTGAAGATCCTCAGTACTTATCTCAGAGTAATAAACCCATGCAGGCAGCCAGATATTGAACTACCAGGCACAGCAAATACTCACCTCACAAGTCCTTTTTAGATCTCAGCCAAACCTTTCTTCCCTTTTCTGTTACTTGTATTGCAATTATTCCTTCTTCCTGCCCTCCAGTCTCTTTGAAAGGATTTGTTTGATTATTAGCTACATTTTTCTGCTTTAAGTTTGCAGGTGGGTTTGACCCAACACACAGGCAGATGCCAGGAAAAATCACTTCAGACAGGTGCAGAGCTCAAGGTAGTGACAGGAGATCTCATCCCCGGTCAGCACCATAATCCACTGAGATCCAGCAAAGCAGCCGCTGACATGAAAGGCCTGATGTCCATATCCATGAAAGCAGTGGCCATGTTCCAGTCCTCTTGGTGGGAGGCACTGGATGCAGCTCTCTGGAGCTTCTTGGAGGAAGCTGGTTGGACTCCTAGTCCTTGCTTAGTTGGTCCTGGGAAAAAAACAACTACATCTTGTCCTGCCCCTATGCAGACACAGCTGCTACCACCAGAGCTGGTAGTAAAATTTCTGACTTCTTCTGTACCTTCCTCATGATAGGTTTATCTTTGGTTCTATGAATATTTTATTGGCATGCCCACATTCCCAAGAAACGTCAAGCTCCTTTACTTTGTTTTCTTGTTTGCTTCACTACAGAATAAGAGGGCCAGACACCAGGCATTTAAATTAGGATTGCATTGTCCAATCCTTCTACAGTGTGATGAAGTTATCGTGGCCAGCTCTGTGGAGTTATCAACCTGCTGACCTTTAGGATCTACATTGATTTTGGTCTGATACTGAAGCAATGAATTTCTTTGTTTCTTTTATGGGCAGGACAGCATGTGCTTTCAGAGACAGAATGACCCCAAAGGAGAGACGCAGTAGGACCTGTGTGGGAAGCAGTGACAAGAACATTTGCCATTGGTGTTTTATCCCACTGCTTAGCATTGTGCTGTTGCCAGCAGCTGTGTGGCTCAGGTCAGGCCAGACTGCAGGAAAATAGTAAGAAAAAACCACAGTACTATTTCCTTTTTGAGTTACAGAACACTAAATCAACAGTATGTAGCTACTTTTCCCACTCTGTGAAACAAATAAATGGACCAAGGACAAATAACTTCAGTCCCCAATTTTCCATCATCAATTTATCCTGGATATTAAATGGGATGGAAGGTTAAACTGGGTATTTTTTTTACATCACATGCAGCTGACAGAGCATAACAGATGAAGCTCCGTATGTGCTGTGGAGCCAGAAGATTTCCATGTTGCCATGCTGTACATCCCCACATCATCTACTCCAAATTGCTCACTTCACGAGATGTACCGAGGTGGGGGAATTCAGAGATTCCAGCTGACAAGAGATGAAGAAATGGGCTCATTTCTCCCCCAGACAGAATGTTTCTTATGTTTCTCTCACTTTGTTCTTTGAATCAGTGTTTCTTCAGTTTTTAAACCACACATCTTTGGAAAAATCATGGCTTCCCACAATGTTATTAATTTCAGTTTGAGAGGATTGGAAAAGCAAGGGCACAATTAATTACACAGTATGAAATAGTTAGATTTAACAGGAAACTGTAAAGCTTTATTTTTCAAAATGTTTCTCAACTCCAGCACTAAGTGAAAGTGTAAAGCAAAAGGGGCTGGACTTTTTAAATGTCAAAGTAATTTTGTCCTATCTCCGGCCCTTCCATTTACCACATTAAAGCAGCCCTGTTATTCTATAAACTTTATAGGCTCAGTTGGAATACAACACAGCATTTGTCAGGACCAGCTTTAAAGGTAGACAAAGTAGGTAGCTGCCTACCTTAACAAGGAGCTAGATGCAGAAAAACAACAAAAGAGGGCAAATATGAAGCATTACTCTTTGCCAGCACTGTTTCCTAATTAAATTGTCCAGAAACTGTAATATAATTTTTCAGGTATTTTTTCAGACAGTGAAGAAATACGGGGAGGACATGAAAATATCTTTCTGACATAAAAGGGGTGAGGTGTGTCACCACATTCTGCTGCTGTGCTATTTGAGTGGCCTTTGGCAGCTCATGGGCAAGGGGGCTGGTGGGAGCAGATCTGCTAACCCTGCAGAGCACAGGGCAACACACCTCCACATGCCTGCTGCTATAGAAAAACCTTGCCTCTACAAGCAAGTAGGTTTGGAATAACTTTAGAGGGCTTTTGCTCAAAATAAACTGCCTTGCAGCCATACGTAAAAGTTAGGGGTTTTTTTGTTCTCACTTTTAGTTTTAAACAGGCTGCTGTTTTATCCCACATCAACTGCAAATTGGACTAAAAATACGGTTCTGGGTTTTTTAACTGATTTCTTTTATCTTTGCCGTTACTACACTGTAGAGAAGCATTGCCATTTTAGGTTTCTAGTAGCTGAAAACTGCAATCTTGGAAGCTGGAATCTTTTAAATGGAAAGCAAGACAGAAATGACAGTGGTACACAATGAAAGAATAACTTCTGGAACCAGATATTCAAGTCTCTTAGTTCTGGATCAAGCAAGCAAATTAAGGTAAAACCCAGAGGGACAAATATACTGCACAGATCAGCTTGGAAAGCATCCTTTTATAGAAACAAACGGGGAAGTAAAACAGTGCTTTAAAAGTGCATTAAGTATACTTTATTCCTCAGCTCAGAGTTAATTCAAGCAATAAACTCACAGATTTCATACAAGTTAAAGCTTCCTACAAATCTCTCAGCTGAGTTCCCTACTGAACCTCAGGGGAATCTTTTATAATGATAACTCCCTTCCCCCACGTCCAAGATGACCTGGAAACGCTTAAAGAATTGTGCTCCTAAGACTTTATTTTTATTATTGTTATTACCTGTGTTTTTCTCTGAACCAGGTATATAAAAGAGAGGGGATTTCCCCTTGCATCAATTAAAACTCAAATCTCACCTCTCCTTTCTTCCCCCACAACAAGAAGTTAACCCCTGCTGAGCTTTTTTTTCCCCAAGGCATAAAGCCTCACAGGTGAGCTTGCTGCAGTAAATAGAATGAATCAGCCCCAGATCTTCTAACAGATAAACACCAATCTTTTATTCTAACCACCTGGCTTTGGACTTATCAGGCAAGAAAATGGCTGTGGTTTGAGTTAGGTGGATTTTCTTCTCTTTTGCAATATTCTTCCTTTTGTATTTTCTTTCCTTTAGCAAGCACTCTTGGGAGAAAATGTGCTTTGGAACATCTTCAAGCTGGAAATTTTCTTTCTGAAAAGCCACATTGTGATGCTTTTTGTTGGAGGAAGTTACCTTGTTTTCTTGTAGTCTCAATCTCTTAAAGTCTCTCAGTTGTCTCAGAGCTCTTATTTCACCATTTCCTTGAAATAGAGATGAGTTTGTCACACCTGGACAGAAGTGGTAAGAAAATATTTTCATGAAAGTAAAGGTTTAATTGTAGTTACATCTAGTTCTTATACCTTAGGAAAAATGAAAAGCCTTGTGTGGTTTTATAGGTAACTTTGTCCGGTCTCCCTGCGGTTTTGACCATAAGAATGTAGAGTTAAGAACTGTAAAAGTTCACTAAAACATTTTCTGTCCTAGATGTGCATGAATCATATAATTGTTTACGTAATGAAGCACTTAAGAATAACTAGAAGAAATGAAATGCATTAAGGAGTCTTACAGGAGAACAGGCCATTCCGCCAAATTGCTTCACATTTTTATGATTGTTTTCAAGGAGGAAGTAAAGTGAGAGCATGAGAATTGACTTCAATTCTCCAGTTCAATTTCTACCTCTTCACTGATTTCATGTTATAAGTAAGTGTTTTATAAGGCTGCTTTCAATTTATTGTCTGGTCCTGGCAGAGGGCACTGTCCTGTTACCTTTACATTTTACCTTTCTTTCTTACCTTATATGCTTTCAGAAAAACACCATCAAATAATGTCGAGTCCTCTTTTTTTAAGTACTTCTAAGATGCATTTCTGAGCAAAACCACTTAAAATTTTTATTGAGAATTCTGGGCTCTGCTGCTACCCACAATTTTTTCTAAACCTATCACTGGGGAAATAAGGAGCCCACGTTTTGAGGCTTTAAAATTTGTGCCTTTTGTCTGCTGCTATTTTACTTTCTTCACTCTAAAAGGACTGGTCTTTCTGCAAAAAAACCCTTACAGTAACATTTATCATCAGTCTCATGTGCAGTGTGGGTACCAGACAGCATCATAGATGTACTAGCTAGAGTTAATCTTGGGTTAAATTCCTGGAAAGCCACAGAAGAACAGGCCTCTATTTAACTGGCATTTTGTATCTACAAGGGAGGCTGTGTTGCTAAAATCCAGGGAGGGTAAATGTGTTCAGAGGACTGTGATATTAACTAATCCACTGCTGAATTTATAATGGCTATCAGTGGTTTATTGGTTTTGCTGTGTTTCTTAACCATTATGATATATTTAGGGGCATTGCTATTTGTGTTTGTTGAAATCTTTCTTCTCAAGAGCTGCATTTTATATTCAGTCACTGCCTGTGAATTATTCTCTGGAAAAGGAATTTTAATTGTGTTTGGGACAATAGATGCCAATATGTATTTACATAAATAAACATTATTACTTTATGCATAAAGCATTTTTAAAAGCAATTTTCTTTCTAATATAATTGAAGAGAAATTGTCTCATTTTCTTACTTGGTGACTTAGAGTAAATAGTTTTTCTGCATTGCATTTTGTGCAGAAAGAAAGATGGGCAGAGAAATAGCTATATTATTTGTAATAAATAAGAATTAAAAGTAATTAGTGAAACAGGACAACTTAGAGGATTGGTAATAGAATCCAGAGCCTTTTCTCTTCCAGGTGTTCAGGCTCTGGTTAATGAACATGTCATAAATACCTCCCTGGCGAGGTCAGCAGTTTCAATGGGGTTGTGTCAAGAGTGGCAGGAAGGCGTTCATGCATGAGCACTGGTCACTGGGAGAATGCACACCCCTTGTCTGTCACACACAGAGGGCCAAAGACCAGGCTGTGTTATTTAGGTCAACTCCAGCCCCACTGCCATGGGATCCTCTGCCAGGGGAGGCTGTCACCCTCTGTGCCCGCCATGGGCTGCAGGTGTTGGTGGTGGCTGTCCTGAGAGGCCCTCCTGGCCATAGCACTCGCTGTGTTTGTGGTGTGACTTCTGCTGGGCGTTCGTTGCCTCCTGTGCCTGTGTATAAAATGCAACAGCAAAGGGTTCCTACCAGGCTTACAGGCTAGAAGAAGCAAATTATGTCTTATTTTAGGCAGGAGATGTACACTTGATGTCTGTGCTAATGTCACAGTGTAATTCTCACAGTCTGCTTCCACGTAAAAATCATTACTTTAAGGAAATGCCACACTTACTAACCTCAATCCATACTCTCCCTGACTGTAGAGGAGCAGAGTTGGATCCTGGGTATGCCTTTTCTGTTTGAGGGCAAAGATGCTCACAGACTTGCTTAGAAAAAAGACATAATCTTTGTTTAACTGAGAGTCTGTATTAACATCATTAGAAGTTTAACTCTTGTGTTGAGCCTTTTGAAAGCTGCAAACAACTTGGTCAGCAGGCCATGTCCAGCACTTAAGAGAATTAATTCCTCTTTTTATTTATATGGGAAATATGGTCTGTGCAGTTTCTTAGTGCTCCTCAGAGATATGAAGGGAAGCTAATGCTTGAAGCTTAGCTGCATATACCTTTAAGTATTTCTAATTGAAAAACACAAAGCATTGTTTTTTCTTCAAGACTCAATTCCCACTTTGGATTTAGGAAAGAATGCAACACTGAGATAATCTCACTTTTCTCATCATCATCCTTTCATTCTTCTCTACTCCCCTCCCTTCCCCAGACACAAGGTGACATATCCAAGTACTTGTCCTTTAACAGATTCTTCAGCAGGCAACAGAGCAGAAAGCCCTAATATCTATTCATTTGTAATCTGTCATTCTTAAAGTATTAAGGACAATTGACGTCACATGTCTCAGGTAATTAGAATAGTCAGCTTTTGCTCCATATTTTTAAAGTGTCTCAAACTCTTAATCGGTACATTTATTGATGTCTTTCAACATATCTGTTTCTTGTCAAGTGTGTGTTAGATTTTTAACAAATCTTGCATACAGAATTGTGCAGGAAAATTATATTAAAACCCTCTTTCTATTGCTTTTGTAATTAAATAATATATATTAGTGACAACATGGTATTTTCCACATTCAGAGTAATCAATCTCTTTTTTAATATGGAAAACTGCTCAAAAGCAAATTAATAAACATAAACGTCAGGAGTTACATTTACACAAATGTCTTAGTACTTGTTTTCCCAAGTTTATATTTCCACATCAAGCAATATTAACTATGATAATAGCTAATACCATTTTAGAAGCTCTAAGGGGCTCATAAAAAAAAGTTGTTGGATTTCTTCAGCTGTTAGTGATCTTAGCAAGACAAAGCAGCCATTCTTCACCCCAGAAACCCAAGTCCTAACTTTTGTCACTAACACTGGTTTATGCAATTTTGTTAGTTACAGGTTCATTTTGTTAGCTTTGGAAGACCTCTAGGATAGGTACACCAAAGTTCAGTGCTCTCTTGCAGCACAAGCAGTCTCAGCAGGCTCCCTTGGTATAGCAGATTTGTATTTGTGAGAAGGTCAGTCTTTAGGGATTGCCAGGGTGTTGCCATTATTCTGTGGCTATAGGGACTTATCCACAAATAGATTTCTGTCACATTGCTCATTTCAGCTCTGCTATAGCAAACACTGTTTCCTGGCACTCCTTTAGCCAAGAAAAGGCAAGTCTCTCAACAGCTGTACCATTGTTTTGGTCCCTCTATACTTTAGAGCAGTGGTTACTCAAGCCATTCTGCAAATGAATCTTCAGTTTGATAGAAGAAATAAAAAAGCAACTTGGAGTGAGTTTGGATATTAAAACAGAGTGGGAAAGCATGTTGGGCAGTGGGAAATAAATGTCTTTCATTGCCACACTTTTCTTCTGTCAACCACAACACACCAAAAGCAGAATCTTTCCACAGCAAGGATTTTGCATGAAGAACTGGAGCAATGAAGTCAGAACAGTGCAAAGAATAAAGGTGGTCCCTCCATCCCTTTGTCAGTGTTTGCCCTTGTGTAAGCCATTCTCCAAGACTTTCCTGTCTTAGGATGTGGTATATTTCAGTCCCATTGAGGGACTAGTTTCAACTCAAACTGAGAATCTTGGGTTTTGGTTCAGGTATTCCTTTTTTTTCCAAATTTGACAATAAATTAATAACAAATGATGGAGAGGAATATATTGTGATTAAAAAAATAATTAGGGATAGCCTGGTATTGCCACCATCTCCTAGATGACTCTCCAGGATCTTATCCTGTGGAATAAGCATTGTGGACAGACAGAAGAACATGTAGACATACATACTCCTTAAACTGATATGGTTCAGATCTTTTGCAAATCCAGCTTGTTGGAAGAAAAATAGGTTACCTCCAGTAGCTCTTCCCTTCAGTGGCACTCTCACTCCTGTACATGATCTTCTTCCATTGTGCAGGCTATAGTAATAAGAAAAACAGAAGAGAAATTTGAATGGATGAGGTGAAATCCAACCTGAGCCTTAGTGGAGCCCTGTGGGAAAGATGCTTGTTTATGAAGAGTATAAAGAGTGCTCTTTATACGTAAGGGCTGGGTACCTGATTCACTACAGGAGATACAAAGGAATATGTCTGACATATGCTTACCAGGAGCTCCCTTTTTGAATTTTTCCTCTCTTTCTTTTGTCTATTTTCTCTTTAGGACTTGGATTAAGTTAGAACAGGACTGTGAGGATGCAGAAGGAAAGAACTCCTTACTGAGGAACCTGTGCACGCTGTACATAGACATGCAGGTCTATGACAGAATACACTGCAGGCATCAAATGAAACCCCAGGTTCACCAGAGACTGGAAGACCCATGGAGTGTAGGACAGCTGGAAGTGTGGTAAATACTGTGAGCATTTGCTCTTTCAAAATACGTGTTTGTGTCTCTCTTTGCTGAGCAGAATAACTTGATTACAGACAGGCCATTAGCTCTGCCCAAGCAGCACAGCATTGTGGCTGTTTTGTCGTAATGACAGCTCTTCAGTTCCAAAAAGCAAAACAAAGTCTTCCTGTGAATGGTTATCTCCATCAGCCAAGGAGATATAAGTCAATACCGCAGTATGTTGGGTACCAGAGTGATTCTGAACTGTAAACTTCAATGGCTATTTGTTCATAATAGAGGAATTTTCCGATTTACCTTACTTCTCCTTTCCTTAGAAAACATTTGTTTGGAGATGAGACAGACCACTTTCTTAAGAAATTAATTGGATCTGCACATACATAATAGTTTCCCCTTTTTGTAACATATTACTCAACATGGAATAATTAGGAATGGAAAGGTTTCACTGAGCAGCAGAAGGGCAATACTTGCCTCCCACAGAATCATTTCTGCCTCTTCAAAGGATTCATTTCCCAATCACTAAATTTTGAACATAATATGTGACCTTCACCTTCTTTAGTCTGCATGGACTTTAAATATGTCTGATAATTAGGGACTGTTGCTGCATTTTGAAAATACAGGGCCCCATTCTGGAAACCATTACCATTACAAATTATCTCAGTGGAATGATGTAAAAATAACCATGATTTTAATATACTTACAATTTGATTTAGAGTGTTACCTTCATTCATTTCATTGGAAAGTACCTACCTGCATTCCTCTGACTTCTCCGAAATTATTTTATGTGGGTATCTAAACATGCACACAGTGATGTATTGCTATGTTTATTGCTCTGTTAGCTCACCAAAAGACACTTCAGCTGAGCTGCAAATTCAAAATCTTGCCATAGGAAAGGAAAATTGGCTTGTGCTTTTGTGGTTTATGGTGTCACCAAACCCTTTGACACAATTCCAGCTCTCTGGTGAATGGATGTTAATCTATTGTTACTTTAACTATTGATTTCATGTTGAGACCACATCTATCTATACTTCTTTTTCCTAAGAAGTTAATTTAAAATTCAGTTATGATAGTAAATACTGTTTCAACTTGAGACTTTCTGACTCCATGGAAAGTAATATCTTAGTGAATTTTTTATAGATTTTGGCTTTCTAAAACATATCATTTTTTATCAAGAGGAAAAATATTGATACTGGATCTGTTCAAACTTTTATTTTAGGACTGGGACAAAAGAAACTTGATTTCATAAAAATGTCCAGTGTAATTTTATAATCTATTAAAATCCATTAAATATATCTAGAGTATAAAGATTATAATAATGTATATAATCTAGATATAATCTATAATAATCTATATCTATACTATTAACATATATCTAGGTTACATTTTTTCAAAACTGAGATTGCATAGACTGGGTCTCTTTTCCTTCAGTTACATAGCCACAGATATGAGTTATTACATGCACTATGTCTTTGAGTTCAGAACGATATTGCCATGAATTCCAGAACTAAAAAGGGGCCAAAATGGAAGCCAGAGAGAGTGAGGCCTTAGATTTATCCCAGTATGGCTCTGTTGTCTTAACAACAGCTCAAAGCTTTAGAGTATGGACTCTTAGGCAGGAGCTCTTCTACATGGAATTAAGGAAGGAGGTAGGATGGGAGTTTGAAACCTTCCTTCTTGGTCACAGAACAGGCTGTGTTTGGTGTGAAAAGGGAGAGTGCTCTTCACTCCTGGTCTAGAGGGCTCCTGAGTGGAGCAGCCAGGTGTAAGATTTTTAATTCAAGATGGCAGAAAGCCAGCGGGAGCAATTGCTATCCTAACTCCTCATCCTCTCTCAACTGGTGAGTATCTCTGAAGCAGAGATTGGAAGAATTTAAAGTGCCAGATCTGAATCTGAACTTTACTTGGCTCAGAAACAGATTTTAGGCTAAACTATAGTACTGTCCCTTTGACCAACCAAAGGTGGTGTGACAAAAATGAGCAGGTTTATGATATGTTACAATTCATGTTCTTGGTTGGGGCAGATCCAGCTTGGATGTCTAGAAAGCACTAAGCACACTGCAGATGTAGCCACAAAAAATAATGAGTGGGTTGGTGTGAACATTTTTATGTGCCATATGTATTAATTGTTCTTTACTTCCTGACAGGAGAAGATGAGCACAGCTGAAAGGCGAGGAATGTTAGGTTATGCCTGGGGAAATGTGGAAAGCTGAAAGGCAAGGCCTTGTGCTCTTAATAACCATTATAATACATTAGCATATGCTACAAATAATGCATCAGGAAGGAAAGGAAAAAAAAGAAGCTGTCTTGTAAAGCAGGACATAATTCTGTGACATGTCTACTCTCTCTAGATAAAGGTTTGAATGGTTTACCCAAGAAGAAGCTTTATGCAAATGCATACTGTCATGTGAATCAGATTAAAGGAAGAAAGACTATTTATGCATGAAATCCAAACATGCTTCTGGGGAAAGGAGAAGAGAAATAAACCCTTTCTTTCACTATAAATACAATATATGTGCAATGACTAAAAAGAAAAGAATGTGTCACCTCTATTACTGACACTAAGTGATTTCCCACTAACAATTAGCATGAATCATAGTGATAAAAAACTGAGATTGAAAATATCTATTAGAACACCCAGTCCACCTCCCTGTAAGTATAGGAATCTCCCTGACAATTTCTATGTGAGGCAGTTCATTGCTCAATACTTTGTGTTTTCATCAGTGCTGCTTCACAGAGGCATTTGCTAAGATGACTTTACGGCAAATACCACATCTGCTCTTCACCTGAAAAAAAGAATTACATCAATTCTGCTCTTCCAGAACAACATCCTTCTGGAGAGACTTGTGGTCCTGGAACTTTAAATATAATGGGTTGTCTTTGCTTTCATGAACCACAGAGGATGTACAAATTGTTCCCGTATTCAACAGCAGCATAGAAAGTAAGTAAAGGAAGACACTTGGCTACAGTGAAATAAAATAATGTAGCCAAAGAATTCTGGGTAACACTAAACCGGACTCTACTCAGTGGGAGTTTGTGTCACAAACACATGGATGTGTTTTTGGTTGCCAGGTTTTGAGGATTGTTCTATGCCATGTTTACCCAAAGGGTAAACCTTAGTATTCTTCAGATTGCTCCCATTAGGGAATTGCCCCCAAATTAATTTGTTCTTCCTGTCTTTTCTCCCCCCACCTGTCCCTTCTGCTGGTCTGTGTGGGACTCAATGACACATGTCTGACTGTGCTGGCTCTGCTCCCCCCAAGGATCTCTCAAGCAGAGGGCATCTCTCAGTCAGCAGCAAAACATTAGGACTATAGACCATAACCAGCTCTTTGTAACCAGTGGACCAAGCTTCACTATGAATTTAGGATCAAGTTTGGCACTGATTTCTTTTTTAATAGTGTGATAGAGATATACCATTAGAAACAGAATTGTCTGAGAGTGCCTTTGAAGATAGACAGTGTCGAAGCAAGTCTGGAAGTTAACGCACATGCAGCTTGGCTTGAAAGTCCAGGCAATGGACTTTCATTTCTCTGTAATCATGGTGTTCCCAGACTAATTGGTTTTTTATCTGAATCTGTTGGTGTCTACACCAGTGTGGTTCTATAGGTATATTCCATGCACTTGGAAACTGCCTGACCAGATTCTTAGCTGATGTCAATTAATTTTTCCCCACTAATTTCAATGGACAGTAATTCCTCATCCTGAGCATTTTGCATGAATCTGAGATGCTAGGCTGGACGATTTGCTGGTCATCCTCAGGCATGTCATTATGGTATGATTCAATTCCTACCAAAGTCAACTGGAAAACTGTCTGCTGATCCCAGGGGTTGCTGAATATACCCTGTGGAAGTAAAGGCTGCAAGCAAGTGTGGAGATAGAGAGCCAAACGCTTTTGTGGGAGGGTTTTGTCTTTAAAAGAATGTGTTTCAGACATGTGGCATCCTTCCACATCCTTGAAGAGGCAGCAGCTCCTGTGCAGGAGCTGTTTATGTCCCGGGAAAAGAGGAATGAAACAAGCCCCCTGCATGAGTAACATCAACTACAAGTTTTGCTTTGATGCCCCTGGCTGAATAGATTCATGTGTATGCAGTCTGGAACAAATGCAAAGGCTGATCAGATGATCCCAGGTAGATAGATTTTTAAAGGATATTTTTCCCCTGAAATGTGTCAATTTGCCCCATGTGAGATAAAATAATTTAGATAAAATTGATCTACTCATGGCTTTTCTGATTGCTTGTAACGATTTTTCTGGATTACAATGACCTTTAAGTATAACTTTTAACAGCAGCTCTTATAAAATTTTCAGGCAGAAATCCGGTTTACTTTTTATTTAAAAATGTTCTCCAGAGTTCTTCAGTCCTGGCACAGACCCAATCATGAATGTCCTGATATGTAATTTAGCACAGATATTTTAAAAACAAGAAGTTTGCTGAACAAATATAAGCTTCCCTCAGCCCAGCATGTCTGTCCCCATGGACCAATGAACTTGCCTGTGACTCAAGATATTTTTAATTCTGCTCTGGACTTTCTCCAGGAAATCAGTAATAATTACTAATTGTATTTTTTTAAGCTAAATGAAAGGATGCATTCTTTCTTGAAATTCTCCCTTAGCTTTTGCAATTAATTATGTTGCTCTTTCGTGTGATTAATCCTTGTCTTTGTATTACAACTTCACTTAATCAAACAGTACTGTGTAGCATGCCAAGGGTTCTTAAGTGTAAAATATTTTCTCCTATTTTAGTATCATTTCTTTCTTTTCTGTGCTACTCACATCTCTGCTATACTTTTATCAAAGTGATGCTTTATTAAAGAACTAAAGAGTTCTAAAATCATCAGGGGAAATTTGCATGAGATTGTTGTGTCTTGGCAAAGACCCCCTGCCATGTGTGGAGCTACAAACAGATTTTTACCAGCTGAAGATGTGTCCTTACATCACCAGCACATATTAAGGCAGTTTTCTGATAAAACTATTTCAACAGAAGGTCAGTCAAACCCCCTAAAGGACCTCAGGGTTTTTTTTTAAACTTTTACTATATGACATATAGTAAAAGAGACTTACCTGACCACCTTAAATTATATATTAAAATTATCCTCTTGCAAAATGCCCACACTGGAAATGTCAGGCAGACAGGAGATGGTTTTGAGTGGTTTAGAGAAAGTCTTAAACACTTAGATTGCTGTGCAATTTTGTGGCAAATCTTACTTCTTCCTTTCCAATCAGGGAAAGTTTTTCCCATGGTAAAAGTGGAGCATGTCTGTCATTCCAGCTGCGCATGACTGCAATATGGCCAGCATTAAAAGGCAGGATGCTGGTTTGCACAGATCAAGGTTCTTACTTTAAATTAAATCATTTTCTCTTCCAGTTTTTTGTTTTTTGTTTTTTTTTTTTATGGTGCCATGTGGTCATATTTCCAAGGCCCCTCCTGTATTAAAATGAATTAAAAAGCGGACAAAATCAACTTCAGAAAAGGTAGCAACCTCTTTGCTCCAGGACCTAGGGGTTTTAGAGTAAGTTCTTACCAGTCCTGCAGTGGAAAAAGACAAACTGGTTGAAACTGCAGGGGAGATGTTGTTCTTTTATCACCACAGTAGTGTCAGTGGATCAAGGATGATCTGAATGTCTATTCCTATGGAAATCCTCTCCGCCTTGAGATGATGGGCATTGCCTATTTAAGCTCCAGCAACGTGAACTAGGCTGGAGCGCAGGACAGCATTGGCTGCTCATTAGGAAAGAACTGAAGAGGCTCCTTACCTTTTGTGAGGGAATTACTCTCACAGCTTAACAAATAACTAAGTGAAGGCAGTAACTGAAATGTTCTGTGCCAGTGCAACTATAAGCGGTTAGTGAATAGATAAATACTAAAAGACTCAGTGCCATCACTGTAGGATGAGTCAAACATCTTGCTAGTGAGAGCTGCAATGGATTAACTTGTGAAGCTTTTTACACAGAGTGTCTAATTGCAAGGAGAATAACCAGGCATAAGAAAACAGAGAAAAAAAATTAGTACCTCTCATTAAGCCCTTAATAAGTGCTGAAAAGTAGCTTTGAATATTCAGGTGACTGAGACTTGCATCAGCAGAGCATAGAGGTGCATGCTCACCTTGAGCACAGTTGTAATCTCATGGAAATACAATACAGTACAATATAATACAATACAATACAACAAATAAAAGGTACTGATGACTTGGAGGACCCTATCTGCATGAGTAATGTCAGGGATCTGCTTCTTGAATTGGGTCTTTTATGTAAATAATAAGTCACAAATGTGGTAAGGATTTATTTTATGTTCCTTCAAATGAAGATGGGTTGGCTGTATTCAGTATATTAAATCCTTCCTGCTGTTAAGTTTAAAGAAACTGATTCTCTTGTAACATATTTTGATTTGACTACTGTAGCTTCCAAGTACTATAAAGCACTAGAGTAGTTTGCCTTGGCCTCACACCTAGTTACAGTAGTGCTAACTTTAAAATTGCCAAAGAAGCCCACATCTGGAGTCAATTGAGTGAATTTTGACCAGCTTTGGTGGTAATATGCAAGTAATATTTCATCCTTGTGTGTATTTCACTCATCTTATAAAAAAGATGCCTCATTCCAAGACTCCTAGACATATTTCTTTGCTGTCTCATATATCAAGAGTATCAGACTAAGCAGACCTCTTAAAACTGGATATGTCCAAACACTCTCTTATCCTAAACAACGGCAAATATTTTTGCCAACACTTCCATTTCCTGCAGTGGAAAAAAACTATATAACCCCAAAGCCTTGGCCAGGTTCTCCTTTCCTTGAAATGCATGGCAAATTTGTCAACAAAACACTCTCTGGCTCAGTAGTGGGGGGAGAAGTTTAACAGCTGGAATTAACCAGCAGGAATAATGTGAAGCAGGCTGAAGTTTCATATTAGGTTTAGCCTAATGCTGGGGTTCAAGGCTGAGCTTGCATTCTGATTGGCCTGTGCCAAAATCATGGAAGCAACATCCAAAACCAGAACCAGAGAACAGCCGCTTTCAGCTCTGGATTTGGCCCAAAGCCAGACCAGGGCTGCAGGCATCGTTCCAGGAATCCAGCACTGAGACACCCACAGGCCCCAGATACAACGGCTTGAAACTCCAGTTTTCTACCATCAAAAATATTAGCCTGGTACACAGAAAGTCCTTCTATTTACAAAGATGTTGTAAACATAATTAATTCTCTAATTCTCCTTTGCACGGACTCTGATTCCCTGACTGGTTGCA